AGGAGATAAGTTTAAGAAGAATGCACCACCGGAATATAAGAATATGATTGCAATCCAGGCTGGGAAACCGAAAGGCGGTATAACTGAATGTTTGAAAGTGGATCCTGATAAAGTAAGACGGCTTAGCTTAAGCGAAGAACAACTCGAAAAGGCCTCGGAAAAATATGCTAAACAGATTGTGAGGTTAGTTCCTTGGATTCATTTCATCAAAATATAAAATTTGTCTATGTTTCCGAAAGAAGATATTCAGTTTCCAAGTGTTTTAAGAAAAACTCTGTTTTATCATGGAGTAAATAATGTAGGTTTACGCAGCGGAATTTGCTTCGGATTTATCCAAAAGGAACTAGAGTTACTTCATCGAATTATAACCCTCTTGTTGGATGGAGCCATGGTGCTCAAATGGTGGCTTTTAATATGCAGGTTTGCTCGTAATCTTGTTACATCTCCAAGCTTTAATCTCGTTAACAGAACATCGAATCATATTCCAAGGCTATATATAGTTCCAATAAATCTTGAATATTTCTTGAAATGACTTTATATTGTGAAGGGACAAGGAAGATCATTATGGGTAATGCAAGGAATGTTTAGAGCCAATGGAGGATGTGGCTACATCAAGAAACCCGATATTTTGCTGAAATCCGACACTATTTTCGACCCGGAAGCTCCATTACCTGTAAAAACAACACTAAGGGTCAGATATATCTATACTCTATTCTCTGTTTTGGTAAAACCTCATGAACATATAGTGTTTTTGATTCTTGTATGTATCATTTTAGGTGACTATATACATGGGAGAAGGATGGTACTACGATTTTCCGCATACACACTTTGATCGATATTCTCCACCTGACTTCTATACGAGGGTATATACAATTTTTGCAACCTTAAAAGATTAAAACGTTTTTGAGGCTGAAACTGATACAAAGTTTCCATATCTTTTCTTAGGTCGGGATCGCTGGAGTTCCGGCGGATACGGTAATGAAGAAGACGAAAATGTTGGAGGATAATTGGATACCAGCCTGGGACGAGGTTTTTGAGTTTCCATTGACAGTTCCAGAGCTTGCTCTTTTGCGTATTGAGGTGCATGAGTATGATGTGTCGGAAAAAGACGATTTCGGAGGCCAAACATGCTTGCCGGTTTGGGAATTGAAGCAAGGAATACGTGCCGCTCCTCTGCGCAATCAAGACGGAGTGAAGTGTAGATCCGTGAAGCTTCTTGTGCGGTTGGAGTTTGTATGAGTTTGGAAGAATGTTATGGTACATGCAAATCG